TGTGTGTCTATCTGTTAGCAAAATATCTCATAAACCACTACATGAACTTTAATGAAACTTTTAAACAGTAATCATTGCATGTGCATCTGCAACTCATAAACTTCTAGAGAGAATCCAACTGTGTGACCACTGAAGCTAATCAGCGTTAGCCAGAAAAACATTGCTATAACTGACCATTTTATAAATACGGAGCTGATGGTCTCTGAGCGAGACAGCTAACATCGTTGCATAAGACAGCTCATAAAATTATTGTCAAGGTTTGACTAAACCAGCTCCAGCTCACTCATGCCTCAACATAAGATGCTGTTGGTCTACAAGTCGGGCGTGAAGGGTGGCGTGTGCGATGCATTCCTTCAATCCTCTGCACCAGCTGCCTGTCAGGATGTTTTATAAGGCCTGGACTGACTGTTGCCCTTTGACCTTTGCTGCACTCGTTCTCTAAACACGTTCTCCTCCATTTTCTTTTTGTTGTGTTTTGTTGTCTTTGAGCAACGGCTGCTTCGGCGCCTCTCATTCCAGAGGCCTGGGGCATCTGGAATGAGCAAAGAACACCTCTGTCTTAAATCACACTGAACACAGCAGGCACCTTACCTCTCTTTAGCCTGCGCCACCCCCCATCCTGAACATAACGGTTTGGTTTTATGGTGGCAGAGTGTTAATGAGCAGCAGGGTGAGAGCTGCTGCAGAGCTGGAGGAGAACAATGAGGCAGAACTGGACTCGTTCAGACTGTCGGCCTTTGACCTCTGACGGGAGCAGGCAGACACACACCAACACACACACACACAGTTATGTGTAGTCAGGAGGAAGAGGATGCACATGTGGTGGTTCACATCTGCATCAGAGATGTCACACTCACGTGTTGGGGATCGGTCTCGGCAACTACCACATTCACTTTTAGCAAAATATCAATAGGAGAACGTTTGTGTTGGTTTCTGCAGGAACTGAACAGATGATTGAAGCCACTTAGAGAGGTCAAAGGTCGAGAGCTTCAAATCTTTTTACAAGATATTCCAGGAAACAGGAGCGGAGTAGGAGAAGGTCCTTTTGTCTAGTTCAGTCCTCACTGAGGGAACACTGCAGGTAATGATGTCCTGAGAGCGCACGCTGTAGCTGCACTCACTCAGAGACATGTAGGAGGAGATGTATGAAGGCAGCAGACCAAGAAGTGATTTAAAGATGAAAATGTACCAGTGAGAGAGTCTGCGTGAAGTTAATGATGTCCAGTTAACCAGTGAATACTGGGTGCAGTGGTGGGTACGATAATCACAGCCAGTTATGAATCTTGGTGCAAGTGACAGACAGCATCCAACATCTGCAGCATCCAACATCTGCAGCATCCAACATCTGCAGGGTGCTTGTAGGAGCGTTCATGTAAATGTAAGATGACTGTGACAGCCATCTTGATTTGAATTCATTCCTAAATTTGAAGGATATACACGAACATCCACTGAATAATTTCTGAGTTTCATTAAAAATCATCCACTGGTATTTGAGATATTTTACTAACCGGCAGAAATGAATATACAATAACAATTATTATCTAAGTTTATGTGTTGAGAATGACTCACAGCAAACTTTAGCTTAGTGTCTTTAAAAGTGATTTAAATATAACCATTTTTGTGTTTGTTAAGGTCATTGAGCTGCAGCAGCCATCTTGAATCAGTCCAAAAAAGTTCAATCTGCTCCTCTGGACATTGAAAAAAAAACAAAAAACAAAACAAAGCAAAAAAATATAGAAATGTTTCGTCTCTCATCCAAGAGACTTCCTCAGTCTGAGGTGCTGTTAGCACCTTCTCAGAGTGGATCAACCAGTTTGCTGCTGACAACCAAAACCAGCTGCTCACATGCTCAAGAAGGACCATCAGCCTAACAATGGATCATTAGCACCTGATGGCTGTTTACTGTTCACAGAGGGCTGAGTGATACTAGCAATCACAGCATTGTAAGAGGGGGACAGTTGAACCCGGAGGCTCCGCCCCTGTTTAATGAGCTGAAAACAGCACCTCAGACTGAGGAAGTCTCTTGGATGAGAGACGAAACGTTTCTAGATTTCTTTTGCTTTGTTTTGCTTTTGTTTTTTTGAATGTCCAGAGGACCAGATTGAACTTTTTTGGATTTTTCTACCTGGATTATTGAGCATGCATCAGGATATCTTGAATCAGGTTTACTCCAAAAGTTCATCAGTCGTAGAAGAACGTTCCATAATTACATTCTGGAAGTTAAATTAAAATCCGTCCAGTGGCTCACGAGATATTTTGCTGACAGACACTTCTGTGTAAAACCTTCTTTCCCATTTGGACAGTGCATTCGTGTTCAGCTCTGCAGGTTTGTTCCTCGCAGCCTGCTGGGAGCTGAGAGACAGGGTTCGTGCACCGTTATCTCCCAGCGTCCATTAACTGCGTGTCTGTTTCTGCAGCCTCTCAAGTCGCCATCAGTCCAAGTGTTTCGCTGCTAAAAATAACTGCATTACTGATAGTTTCAGATAGCAGCACAAAGGCTAAACTCCACGGTGGCCTGCTTCGTGGCTCATGCTTCGAGCACTGCCTGAGCTGGGCCACCACCTGTTATCAGACAGAACGTAAAGCCTGGCACCAGCCAGCCACCACTTCACTCGCTCCAACCTCTTGAATGAGCTGAAGTTCAGCACAGGTCACTTCCTGTGTGCCGGCTGCATGACTGCTGCTGATGTCTCACCAACAAAGCCCTCAACAACCTAGCTCCATCTTATATTTGAGTTCTTATTGTTCCATATTTTCCCAACAGGGCACTTCACTCTCAGACTCCAGGCTTACTTGTGGTTCCTAGTGTTTCCAAAAACAGAATGGGAGGAAGATCTTCCAGTTTCTGTCCATGAGGCTGACACATTGTCCAGTTTAAGACTTTCCTTTTTGATAAATCCTATAGTTAGGGTCAGCTTGTGTTTGATGAGCTATCCCTTAGTTCTGCTGCTATAGGCTTCGGCTGCTGGAGGATGCATTATACTCATTTCACCAAATGAACAATTTATTTATATTTGTAATGGTTTCTATCTTAACATGCGTTTTATTTATTTTATTTTTATCTTTCCTCCTGGCGAGGACGTGCTCGCCTCCACCCTGGACCTGCCCTTCTGTGTCAGTTCTTCCTTCCTGTCCTCTCAAACCCAGCTGCTCGAAGCAGACGGCTGCATGTCCTGAGCCTGGTCCTGCAGGAGTTTTTCCTTTCCACTGTTACCTTTGTGCTTGCTCAGAATGGGAGACTGTGACAAATTGAAGACTCAGCGCAATCTGCTGCGTTCCTTCCTTCCTTCGATATAAAACTTTTCTGACTGGCTTTTATAAAGTACGTGAGCGTTTCTGTTCAGTGCCCTGAGACGACTTCTGTTGTAACTTGGTGCTTTATAAATAAACTGAACTGATGGGAGTCAAGAAACAGCTGTCATTACTACCTCGTAGGCACAAATTAATTAACGTCTCAATATTAATTAATTAATATTGAGACGTTAACATAACTGTCTCAGGTTTATCATCCCACAGTTTTATTAAATCATTGTCATCTGTTTGGGACCAGTCTCAGCTACTGTCACACACAAGTTTAGCTCAGTATCTGTAAAATATGGTTATAGACATTTTATTAGCTGTGGCAGCCATCTTGAATTGTGTTGACCCAAAATGAGAATGCTTACTTTTTTTATATTTCAACATCATCCATCCAGTTTATGGAATATTTTACTAACAAACACGATCGTAGACACAGGCGAAAAAATTATTGTCCTCCTTCACCTTTTAGTGACAGGTGATAAATATGTCACTTTTACGAAGGAACAACAAAAACCAAACAGAACTTTAAAAGGTTCTGTCTCACCTGTCCTGCGTGCCAACAGAACCCAGTTTTTCGTTCTTGCTGCAGAAGTCCGGGGAGCTGTGCAAGTAGACCAGTTCACTTTCCCTCACCGGCCTGATGTCGATGTCTTTGGGGACGAGCTGCTTGCGTGTGCCCATTGGTCGATGAACCACCTTGGTGGCAGACAGGTACCTGGTCTTAAGGTCCATGGCGATCTCTTTGAGGTCTTGGAGGCCCCTCCAGCAGGTTCTTACGGAGCAGGATCCAGAAACACCGTGGCACTTACATTTTAACACCAGGGCCTTTCTCACTGCCTGGACAACGAAGAGGTCTAGATTACCCCAATGCAAATGCGACAGTATCTTTGTGGGGTTTTGTTGCACATACCTGTCTCCCAACATCACTGTTGTGTAGATGCATCAGTTTGTTGGCATGGGAGCTGGAGCGTTTCATCTTCATCGGAGCATCAACAAACCTGGAGGCCAAAGGACTACCGAAGTTGATGTTGTCGCCACAGCCGCCCCAGCGAAAGTCAGGATCTGGGGCGTCTGAAGGACGGTTTGCACATCCACACATCTTCAGGTCTCCAGCGGCACACGCTTTAGATATTGTGTGAATGAGGGTTGCGGTCGACAGGGCGTACACAAACGCAGCCTCTCTCGTTCCTGACAAATAGAAACAAATTATAGGGTCTTTAAAGCACATTTTTAGGTAAACTGGTATTAAATATTAAACTGCCTTCCTGGATCTATTTGTCGTCTTCGTGGTTTTTTTTGTTTGTTTGTTTTTTCTTAAGTTTAACTGCATAGATTATATATATAGAATATTAGCTACATTACTATAATTTGAATTTGAAAAGTTTAGATATACTGTAATACATTTAATTAATAAATATACAGGTGCTGGTCATAAAATTAGAATATCATGAAAAAGTTGATTTATTTCAGTAATTCCATTTAAAAAGTGAAACTTGTATATTATATTCATTCGTTACACACAGACTGATATATTTCAAATGTTTATTTCTTTTAAGGTTGATGATTATAATTGACAACTAATGAAAACCCTAAATTCAGTATCTCAGAAAATTAGAATATTACTTAAGACCAATAAAAAAAGGATTTTTAGAAATGTTGTCCAACTGAAAAGTCTGAACATGAAAAGTATGAACATGTGCAGCATCAGTACAGTGGTTTGTGAAAGTATTGGGCCCCTTGAACTTTTCAACCTTTTGCCACATTTCAGGCTTCAAACATAAAGATATAAAATTTTAATGTTTTGTGAAGAATCAACAACAAGTGGGACACAATCGTGAAGTGGAATGAAATTTATTGGATGTGTCAAACTTTTTTAACAAATAAAAAACTGAAAAGGGGGGCGTGCGGTATTATTGGCCCCCCTTGCGTTAACACTTTGTAGCTCCGCCTCTTGCTGCAGTTCCAGCTGCAGTTCCAGCTGCAAGTCTCTTGGGGTTTGTCTCCATCAGTTTTGAACATGGAGACACTGAAGTTCTGCCCATTCTTCCTGCAGAACAGCTGGAGCTCAGTGAGGTTGGATGGAGAGCGTTTGTGAACAGCAGTCTTCAGCTCTTTCCACAGATTCTCGATTGGATTCAGGTCTGGACTTTGACTTGGCCATTCCAACACCTGGATACGTTTATTTGTGAACCATTCCATTGTAGATGTGTCTTTATGTTTTGGATCATTGTCTTGTTGGAAGATAAATCTCCGTCCCAGTCTCAGGTCTCTTGCAGACTCAAACAGGTTTTCTTCCAGAATGGTCCAGTATTTGGCCCCATCCATCTTCCCATCAATTCTGACCATCTTCCCTGTCCCTGCTGAAGAAAAGCAGGCCCAAACCATGATGCTGCCACCACCATGACTCTCCCACCTCAGCTGTAGATCTCTGCAGTTCATCCAGAGTGATCATGGGCCTCTTGGCTGCATCTCTGATCAGTCTTCTCCTTGTTCCAGATGAAAGTTTAGAGGGACGGCCGGGTCTTGGTAGATTTGCAGTGGTCTCATACTCCTTCCATTTCAACATGATTGCTTGCACAGTGCTCCTTGGGATGTTTAAAACTTGGGAAATCTTTTTGTATCCAAATCCGGCTTTAAACTTCTCCACAACAGTATCTCAGACATGCCTGGTGCGTTCCTTGGTCTTCATGATGCTCTCTGCACTTTGAACAGAACCATGAGACTCTCACAGAGCAGGTGCATTTATACGGAGACTTGATTACACACAGGTGGATTCTATTGATCATCATCAGTCACTTTTCAGTTTTTATTTGTTAAAAAAGTTTGACACATCCAATAAATTTCATTCCACTTCACGATTGCGTCCCACTTGTTGTTGATTCTTCACAAAAAATTAAAATTTTATACCTTTTTGTTTGAAGCCTGAAATGTGGCAAAAGGTTGAAAAGTTCAAGGGGTTGAATACTTTCACAAGGCACTGTACTTAGTTGTTGCTCCTTTTGTCTGGATTACTGCAGCAGTGCATCGTGGCATGGAGTGGATCAGTCTGTGGCTCTGCTCAGGTGTCATGAGAGTCCAGGTTGTTCTGACAGTGGCCTTCAGCTCTTCTGAATTGTTGGGTCTGGTGTATCACCGCTTCCTCTAGGGTTAAGGTCAGGTGAGTTTGCTGGCCAATTAAGAACAGGGATACCATGGTCCTTAAAACAGGTACTGGTAGCTTTGGCACTGTGTGCAGGTGCCAAGTCCTGTTGGGAAATGAGATCTGCATCTCCATAAAGTTGGTCAGCAGCAGGAAGCAGGAAGTCCCTAAAACTTCCTGGTAGATGCTGCGTTGATCTTGGAACTCAGAAAACACAGAGGACCAACACCAGCAGAGGGCATGGTGCTAGATACATAAACTGAATTGAATTGTTCGTTTAGATTAGTTGAATACTCAAAAGATGAGTCTGCAGAATAATGAAAACAAGAGGTACGCCGATGTCCCCCATCACTGAAGGATTTGAATAGTGAATGTTTGCAGTTGTTGAGATGAGTGTTTTTCTGGACTGGGACAGGGAATACGAGTAAACCTTAATGTTTTTGGTGCAAGATATTCAAGTGTGTAGGAGAGTTACACTGTATAAGAACAGAGGTTGTTGTTTGCTTATCGGAGGCAGCGCAGAGTGACGGATCCTGGTGAGTGAAGGGTGCGTTTTTATCCACGACCAGGCGCAAAGGCGGAGCCAGAGGGTGGCCAATGGTGGCCTTAGCCACAATAGATTAATCTTCAGCCACTCCAGTCTTCTGAAGAATCTTCTGACCTTTAAGCAATATAAAACTTGGAAAACATAGTTTCCTCAAATGATAAGGGTGGCCAGTACATAAACACAGATACATCTAAAAAATTAGAATATTGTGAAAACGTTAGATTTTTTTCAGAAATTAAAACTCAAATGTTACAGATTCATTGCACATAAAGTGAAATGTTTCAAGCCTTTATTTCTTGTCATTTTGATGATAAAGTCTTACAAATGATGAAAAACCAGAACTCGGTGTCTCAGAGAATTAGAATATTGTGAAGAGGTTGAATCTTGTAACCTCCTGGTGTCACAGCCTGATCAGCTGATGAACTCCTTCATGAGCTACAAAAGTCTCGCTCCTCGAGTTCAGACACTCCTGAACCAGAGACGTTACAAGTCACCTGCTGAGGAGAAGAAGAACTGGACTGTCTCCCAGTGGTCCAATGTCCTCTTTTCAGATGAAAGTACATGTTCATGTCATTTATAAATCAAGGTCCAGAGTCTGGAGGAAGAGTGGAGAGGTCCAGAATCCATGTTCTAGTGAAGTTTCTACAGCTAGTGATGGTTTGGATCCATGGCCTCTGCTGTGATGGTCCATTGGGTTCTCTGAAGTCCACACAGCATCTAGCAGAACATTTGGAGACTTCATGCTTCTTTCTGCTGACGAGCTTCATGGAGATGCTGAGTTCATTTTCCAGCGGGACTTGGTACTGGCCCACACTGGCAAAGTTACCAAAAGGTGTCTGTGCAATATTTTCATTCTCTGAGTTTTTCATTATTTGTAAAACTTTATCATCAAATTTACAAGAAATAAAGTCTGGAAATATTTCACTCTGTGAGTAATGAATCTATATAAAATACGAGCTTCACGTTCTGAAAGGACTGATACATTTTTAAAACGATGTTCTAATTCTTTGAGGTGCACCTGCTCATGATGGTGGCCATCTTGGATTTTCATGTGGCAACAGAATTTTTGATAGTGGTCTTTTTCACACGTAGATGCAGCCACACGTCCAAACAGACGTCAGTGTGCTGCTTATTTTTCAAGTTATCCAGCTGACCATGTTAACATACACAAACATAGAGGCAGCCATCTTGGATTTTGACCTAGCAACCCATTTCTTACACCTAGATGAGGCACACATCAAAGTGGAAGTCAGTACCTCACTTATTTTTCAAGTTATCGTGCTCACAACATGCACTAACGGACGGACGGGGGGCATGTCCAATTCCCCTTCTGCACTCCGTGACGGGGACCAGATAAAAACATTGTTAACGGCAGCGCCTTGATCAGCAACAGTCGCCCGTGACCCTGAGCAGGAACAAGAAGGTAAAGCTGGAGCAGAGCTGACGGCGATCAGTTTGAACAAGTCCTGATTAGAGCATCTAACAAACATTTAGAATTAAAGCCAAAACGCTTTAACTAAAAAAAAAAAAAAGCAGCAGCTCCGCCTCAGATTCCACCTCTCTCTTGACTTTCTCCTTTTTTTTGTTCTGTTTTCATTTTCTCATAAAGAAAGAAAAATCTCTGTGAACATCAGGCGACTTGATTGTGCCTCCAGAGTGAGTGTCCGTCAAAAACTAAAGCAAGTGGAGGGAACGGAAGAAGTCATGTAGGACCTGGACTGGTTAGATCAAAGCCAAGCCTGGACAGAGACGTTTCCTGTCCAAAGCACCCCCTTTGCAGCCAAAAGCAGCTGTGGTCTGTTTTATAGAGCACTTCACCCCCGTCCCACCCCCCGTCACCATCTGTGGTTGATTCAAGGTCCAACTGGCAACGGAAACGGCCAGGTCAAACTGCCGTGCAAACAGGTGTGCAGCCTGAGAACCTGACGGGTTTTAGACAGAACGAATCAAAAGAATTGACCAAATAATGATTTACTACCAGTCTGTGGTTAGAACGCTTCGTGGATCAATGACACGAAGAATTGTGCTGGCAACCAGAAAGGAAAATATCACTAAAATTATAACCTTTACTTGAGACCGGGGATTTAATCTGCAGCTCGTTACCCAAATCTAACATTGAAATTATTATTATTTAAATACCTCCAATTCCAAAAACACTGGAACACTTTGTAAAATGAAAATTTAAAGAGGACGACGCGGGTAAAGATGATGGATGGATGGATGGATGGATGGATGGATGGATGGATGGATGGTATTTGCAAACTGTATTAAAAGTAGAATTGTAATTGCACCATTTTTGAATGTGTTTTTTAATGTATTTAATGGCAGCAACACATCTCACAAACGTTCAACAGTGAGAACAACAGGTTGTAAAAGTAAATAATTTAAATAATAAACGGATGGAGGTGCATTTTGCAACTAGTTAGGTTAAATGGCAACAGTTCAGTAAAAGGACTGGGTGTAAAAAGCATTTGAGAGGCTGAATCTTTCAGAAGTAAAGATGGGCAGAGGATCACCAGTCTGAAAAAACTGTCAGAAAATAATAGAACGAGTTCAGAATAATGTTCCTCAACAGAAAATTGTGAATACTTTGGATTTTCAGTTCATAATATCAAAAGATATGAAGAACCGGGAGAAATCTCTGAGCTCATAAAGGCTGAAGGTCATTTTTAGGTTGTGACCTTCAGCCCCAAATGAAAACATTGGTGCACCATGAAACAAAAAATCCAGCTGGGAGGACTGTTGAACACCTTGAATCCTCAGAAAGACAAGAATGAGCTTGTCTCAGCTGGTCTCCTCAGTCCCTGGATCAGGGGTTCATCCAGCCATCCACCATTCTGAACTGTACACCTGGCAACACACCTGTCTGAACTGTACACCTGG